ACAGCCAGAAAATATTTGGTTTTCCTGGGGATGGTATTATAAAGACATCATCATTTGGCAGGCCAATCTGGTAGGAGATTAATCAAAACAAAAACTGACTTTTGGCAAATCTGCCTCCAGCCGGCGGCGTTTGAAGAGTGAGACAACAATTTATTTTAATGTTTTTATATTTGAACATGAAAATATATTAAAAATATCACCAAAGGAAAGAATAAACAAATTTAGAAACACATGATGCTACAGTTTGTGTCACGATGCTGCAGCGATGAAATATGCAAATATGGCCGCCTGCTGTGAAAGAGCCACAGTGTGGAGGTTTAAAGGTGAGCTTTGCATCTTTTAAAAGTGCCGTTACTCCACTGTTGTGCTTTATTTAAACATGGCAGCTTCACAGGGGAGCAGTTCCTGCACCTCTTATATCCTCCGCTCCCTGTCACTCACTTCACTTGGCAGGTGAAGCCGTGCTTTCACCGTCAACTCGTCAGCCGAGACAAAAGCCGTCGCTCAGCCAGGACAACACCGGGGGGATCGTCAACAAGATCTAATTTTACACCGAACGGAGACATTTAGCATCAGGCAGGGCAGCGCGAGGGCTGGGTGGATCTCAGGGTGAGATTTAAAGGATCCAGCGAGCTGTCTGCATGTGTGAGCATCATTTCACACGCTGGCTCTCGTTAATCACCGCCTCGTTCGTGGTTCTACGTGTGACACATTGGACTATTTATGTTGATGAACAAGGGCTCATCAGAAGGGAATATGGGGCAGCAGCTGCACGGTGGTTAGTGATGGGTACTGAATTCGGTACTTTTTAAGGTACCGACCGAATTCCATAGTACCGACTGAGCGCCGATTCACGTCATTTGAAACTGTGCCTCGTTTCGGTACCCGTCCTTCATAACTAGAACTTGCCTAGACAGCTGCGCATGTGCAAGAGTGTTATGTCGTCGGTCGCTGCGAGCCAGTTGTAAACAGAGCAGCATGGTAGAAAGAACGCACGCTAAAGCTTGGGTCCACTTCACTAAATGTGATGGGTAACTGGGTGATGATGAAACCAGCGACAGACAACGATCTAAGTGAGACATCCTCATCTTAATCTGCTCCGATAGGTAAATAAAATGTTTAAGATAACGTTAGCTTGATATGTTAGCTTCCATTTCGCTAATGGTGCGTTCGCTTTCTCTTCGGAACTCCGAATTTCCGACTAGAAGAACAAGAACACGCTCTAAAGTTTGGCTTCACTTTACTAAATGCGACGGGTGATTGGGTGAAGATGAAACCAGCGACAACGATCTAAGTGTGAGGCATCATCGTTTTAATCTGCTCCAGCAGCTAAATAAACTGTTTCAGATAACGTTAGCTTGATATGTTAGCTTCCATTGCCACTATTGTTATCAGCTAATTCTGCGTTCACTTTCTCCTCGGAAATTCTAACTTCCCAGTAGGAAAAATCAAATGAAAAACTTGAAATTGCCACTAAGTATTTCCCAGAATATTACGTGGAGTCGGTGGTCAGGTGTTTGTACGAAACACGGAGCGGTATGATGTGGAAGAAGGGGTTGAGTGTATTTCCTGGGGGAAAGGGGGTGGTACCTGGAGTGAGAGTTGGGCCTTCTACCTAAAATCAGGTTTAGAGTGAGCTGAAAGGTGGATCAACGGATACTGATGCCCTGCAATGAGAAGGTTGCAGGTTCAATTCCCAGCTAAGGCATTTCTGCATGGATGCATTTTCTCCGCAGACCAGAAACATTCATGCATGTTAAAAAAATGTTGTTGATTTGTTTTGGAAGAGGCTCTGCTGTGGCTAGATGGTCAGTGAGTTTCTGTGTAATACATTTTTACTTAGGTGAAGAGCTCATTGAGCAGCTTTACTTGGAGAAATAGCAAAACTTTTGTGCTTCCTCTCCAAGAAACAAACAAATTCCCCTTTTATGTTTTTGGGTTTAGGGCAATAGTGGCTTTAGTTTAATGTAAGTGAATAATAGTAACACAGTAATAAAGGGAATGATAATGTAATAAAATGACATTTGGACTTTTCTTCAAACATCTCCATCATTTTTAGAATATTTTGGTTTATTTATTTTCTTGTTAAGTTTGTTAAATGCTTCAGGGAGATGCGTCTAAGTAATGTTGATGTAGAAAGACTCCCAACGTAAAGTGTTATTGTGTATTTCTATGTAGTAACAACAGATTCTGAGTGTTTTGATGTACTTTGATGCTCATGAGCAAAGGCAGTCCAGTGAGAACCTGATTGTTTTTAGTTTGTAAAAAGAAAACAAAAGGACTGTTACCTCCCACCATAAGCCTGGTGTGTGTGTGTGTGTGTGTGTTCATGTTATCACCAGAAAACAAAGTGGAGGTAACTGCCAGAGCGGTGCTGTCACAGCAATGGAAGCACAGCATCAAGGCTGCACCTAGATGCTCATTTTCAGGGGGTGGGAGGAGGGGGGGGGGGGGGGGGGGGCTAGGAAGGCGGCCTTATCTGGAAATGAACAATCTTGTTTTCAAAAGCTGCTTTCTGCCACATGTTTATCTCCCAGAACAAATAGGACAAAACGTTGCATTAACTATCCTGCAGCATCGATGTAATCACAGAGCTGCAGAATCCCACCCCATAATAAGATCCAACACATCAAACTCTCATGACAAATACACTTTCTCAACACTGCTGAGTCGGGAAATCAATGCCTAAAATTCCTATTAGAAACCAATTTGGAATCATTTGATACTCAACATTTAATGTATAAACCCCATTATGTACTGGACCATCACCCAGGTAATACACCCGACCCACGTTCCAGATAATACACCCAACCCACGTTCCAGATAATACACCCAACCCACGTTCCAGATAATACACCTGACACTTACTCCAAGTAATACACCTGACCCACGTTCCAGATAATACACCCGGCTCTTACTCCAAGTAATACATCTGACCCTCACCCAGGTGATACACCCGACCCACGTTCCAGATAATACACCCAACCCACGTTCCAGATAATACACCTGACACTTACTCCAAGTAATACACCTGACCCACGTTCCAGATAATACACCCGGCTCTTACTCCAAGTAATACATCTGACCCTCACCCAGGTGATACACCCGACCCACGTTCCAGATAATGCACCCGACTCTCACTCCAGGTAATACACCTAACCCACGTTCCAGATAATACACCCGACCCTCACTCCAGATAATACACCTGACCCTCACTCCAGATAATACACCCGACTCTTACTCCAAGTAATACACCTGACCCTCACCCAGGTGATACACCCGACCCACGTTCCAGATAATGCACCCGACTCTCACTCCAGGTAATACACCTGACCCACGTTCCAGATAATACACCTGACCCTCACTCCAGATAATACACCCGACCCACATTCCAGATAATACACCCGACCCACATTCCAGATAATACACCCGGCTCTTACTCCAAGTAATACACCTGACCCTCACCCAGGTGATACACCGGACCCACGTTCCAGATAATGCACCCGACCCTCACTTCAGATAATATACCTGACTCTCACTAATACACCCGACCCACATTCCAGATAATACACCCAACCCTCACTACAGATAATACACCTGACTCTCACTCCAGGTAATACACCTGACCCACATTCCAGATAATACACCCGGCTCTTACTCCAAGTAATACATCTGACCCTCACCCAGGTGATACACCCGACCCACGTTCCAGATAATACACCCAACCCTCATTCCAGATAATACACTGACCCTCACTCCAGATAATACACCTGACCCTCACTCCAGATAATACACCCGACCCACATTCCAGATAATACACCCGGCTCTTACTCCAAGTAATACACCTGACCCTCACCCAGGTGATACACCCGACCCACGTTCCAGATAATGCACCCGACTCTCACTCCAGATAATACACCTGACCCACATTCCAGAAAATACACCTGGCTCTTACTCCAAGTAATACACCCGACCCTCACCCAGGTGATACACCCGACCCACGTTCCAGATAATACACCCAACCCTCATTCCAGATAATACACCGACCCTCACTCCAGATAATACACCCGACCCACATTCCAGATAATACACCCGGCTCTTACTCCAAGTAATACACCTGACCCTCACCCAGGTGATACACCCGACCCACGTTCCAGATGATGCACCTGACTCTCACTCCAGATAATACACCTGACCCTCATTCCAGATAATACACCGACCCACACTCCAGGTAATACACTGACCCACACTCCAGGTAATACACCGACCCACACTGTCAGCTGCAGCCACACAACAGGAACTCATGACTATACACCAGCTGAGCTGCTGAAGGAGGACAACGGTGTCTTCAGGGGAAGCGATGACCTTCAGAGTTGAGATGAAACAAGACAATCAGAGTCTCACAGAGACACTTGGGTAAGGACACATGTGGGTCTGCTAAACATCTAAACCAAAGATCCAACTCTACTCATTAAAATTACATTCAACTTGGCGTTAAAAGAGGTTTTTTATGCAGATTTTTATTGTCAAACAAGCTTTAAACCAGAGTAATATTAGAAATGAAGCAACACATTTCCCGTTTTCCTAATGCTTGCAGACCTCTGAGTGAGGGATACTGTAAACATCATCAGTGGCTCATTTTCAGTAAACAGTGTGAAGGGTTACACTGGACCGCTGCTTAGGGACGGACAGCATCAGAACTCATGCATGAAAACAACAATCGTCTAAGGTGTTTATTATTATTATTTATTTATTGCATGTTAAATTCTGTTTGTTCTTGCATTACAACCAAAAGTACTTTTTTTAAGACATAAAAAGTCACTGAAGTACTTTAGCTTTGGTTCACAAACCAACAATGGTAGGAATCTATTTCATTTGGTTGAAAGTTGCAAGCAAGGCTGAAGACCTTTGACCTCATCTAGAAACCTTATTTCAACATTTAAAAATGAAGTTTAAGAACTTTGTTGTGAAGAGAAAATCTGGACAGTACTCACAGTTTGTGACATGTTGGTGTGAGGCCATGATCCGATCCGGATGGGTCTGAGAGGAGCTGCTCGACGGCACTGGTTTGGACACAGGGCTGGCTGCTACTTCCTGTTACGAGACCGAGAACGCTATCAGAGGATACACCTGTGCTGAGGTGAAAGCACCGAGCATCAAAACAGACACACACACTCACAAACACACACAAACACACACAAACAGAGGTTGCACATGCTAACAATGCTAACACACACCCTAAGTGTGAAAAGTGATACAGTCAAGCGTCTGGTGACACTAAAGCTCTGGAATCCTGTGAGACTTTGTTGCCGTCTGCACATTCTCACACACACACACACACACACACACACACATCAGAGTGGAACAAGAGACGACCTTGAATGCAGTGTTAGCGTTAGGCATCGACTGGAACGTTAGAGTAAACAGCACTTTGGCTGAGTTTTAATAGAGTCCATGCTGTTGATAAGATGCACAACTTTTGTACATGCTATGTCCTTGGAACACACACACACACACACACACACACACACACACACACATTTAATCCCTGGAGGCGCTTTGTCAAGAGAAGTACAGAACACCCATTCACTTGTAAATCTCTCCTCTAGGGAACGAGCACACCTGTGTCTGCTAAATGCGTTCAGGTGTTTTTTTTCCCTTCATTTGCAAATCAGACGTGTCGCTCCGCAGAGCCTTCAGAGTGACAAGAAACAAACTCCCCACACAGCAGAAGGGAAACTAGAGGCACATGGTGCACGCAGGGTTTTTGTTCCACTGTCCAAGGCGTCAGCTGCAATTTTTTTAAAATACAGCAAAGGACAAAACATGTCCCCTCAAACCCCCTTTTGGCCAGATGTTATGATACAGTGTATCATTCATCCATTCACACACACAGATGGTGATGAGCTACGATGTAGCCACAGCTGCCCAGGGGCGGCATAGGCGCCGCCGGTCCCTCCGACCACCACCAGCAGGCAAGGTGGGTTAAGTGTCTTGCCCAAGGACACAACAGCAAAATTATCTGTCCAGAACCAGGATTGAACCTGCAACCTTCCGATTACTGGACAACCCGCTGAACCTGTTGAGCTACTGCTGCCCAAGGTGAAAGTGCAGATGGAAGAATTTCTATGCATATTTGATGTGGTGTGTCTCACTGGAGCTTCAGAAAGAACAATGGATGACATCAAAGAAGGAAAGAATGCCTGCTGCTTTTCTTTGTTTACGAGTCAGATGGTGTTGTTTACACTTGGGGTGGAGCTGTGGACCATAAACATCTGAAAAGTCATAGGATGTCACACAGAAGGCTAGGCTGAAAAGAGAGAAAAAGCACCCCCTAGTGGACGGTTCCAGAAAGTCTTAAGCCTCGCCCCTTTCATGTAAATGAATGGGGCATTTTTCCGACTAAAAAGCAAAAACAAAATTTAGGGACAAGTCTTCACTAATGACACGTTCGATTCTATTCTGATCCCGTGTTAGAATATTCTTCCCTCTGATGCGGCGTCCCGATCCATGATGTGATCACGTCCTCTGGTGTGGCGTCAGCCAGCTTGGAAACATCCTGTTCTCATTTTTAATGATCGGGTCTTTAAGAGTCGTCCTGTCATTGCCCTTTGAATTTTCTCCTGTCGTCAGATTAGAAAGCAACAAATATTTATAGCCGGATCAAGGAGGCCGTCAAAGTGAGAAAAGAGGCACCAGTGGATCGTCAACCAGAACTTTTCCTCCCAGGATTCAGAGTCCGAGGCTACCCACAACGGTGGAAGTTATTACAAACTTGGCATTTTTCATCCATTTTTAACTACTGTGTCTGTCCCTGCCACAGCTTTCTATACAATTTTATTTGAACACTGAAATGTTTCTTCTAAAACAGAAGCGAGGAGTGTTTTTTAACTTCACCTTCAAAAGCCGACGCATTTTTTTTTAACCAGGCATCCTTCTGGCTTGTGGTTGAGGTGTTCTCTGAGTTTGCTTATCTCACGAGTCTTATAAGAAGGTATAATAAAGTCCTACTAGTTGTCACACACACTGATGTGTGTGCGAAATTTGTTCTCCGCATTCGACCCATTTGGGGCAGCGGTGAGCTGCAGACCCAGCTGCGCTCGGGGACCATTTGGTGGTTTAGCCCCACCAGTTCAACCCTTAATGCTGAGTGTCAAGCAGGGAGGCATTGGGTCCCATTTTTTCAAAGTCTTTGGTATGACTCGACCAGGAATCGAGCCCTGATCTCCCAGTCTCAGGGCGGAAACTCTACCACTAGGCCACTGAGCCACTAGGCCACTAACATGTTACCGTAATGTGTCTTGGAATCGCGCCATGACATAACGCAATGCACAAATTTAGCGGCATTTGTTCCGCCTCACTTGGTATAAACATTGTGGTAATTTTCTGTCTTACAAACGGCTATTGTGCCACGGCACAACAGAGGGAGGTGGCATGATGACGTGGGGAATTGATGCCGAACTCCGGTCGGCAAATATATTGAAAATGAAAGCAAACATGGCAATACGTTTTGCTTTTTGAACAAAATCTGCTGAACTAGAGCGCCATAGCTCCGTTAGATCTGAAGCTCAGATCATCAGAGACTGCCATTTCCCCTTTCATGCCGCCATCGCCTAATCTTTCATAAAAAGGACATGATTACGCCAAATAACCGCCACGGTCTGACGACTTATAAACGACCTAACACTCCCTGATGCTGCCATGCCGTTGTTTTGAAAAAACGGCTTCAGTGTTTTTCTCCCCAGAAGAAGCTTCAATGATGTTCTGCTGAGCTGTGGTGGCCTCATGGTGGGGGCCATCGGCTTCAACCACTTAAACTTTTTCCCTCTCCTGATAATAACATTGTATTTTCTTTAACATGGAATGTGCTATTACTAGTTTACATGTGTGTGTGTGTGTGTGTGTGTGTGTGTGTGTGCGTGCATGCGTGCGTGCGTGCGTGCGTGCGTGCGTGCGTGTGTGTGTGTGTGTGTGTCTGCTCTGTCTTCTCGATCCCCAGTGAGTCATGGTGGATGGTTATATTGAGCCAGGGTCCTCTGGAGGTTTCTTCCTGTTAAAAGGGAGTTTTCCTCTCCACTGTCACTGCATGCTTGCTTAGTATGAGGGTTGCTGTCAAGTCCGTGACACTAGTCAGTGACTCGATGCAACCTGCTGGGTTCCTTATATAGGAAACGTTTTACTGATTGGCTTAATGACCTGACCTGTATTGGAATGTTGACTGTGTGAAGGTCCTTGAGACGACTCTTGTCGTGATTTGGCGCTTTATAAATAAACCGAATTTAACTGAAACTTTGACCACAGGACTAAAAACCTGCTGCTTGTTTCTGTGTAAAACATGAAAAAACTACACTCTATTGAACGTGTTTTGATACTTTTACCTCTTAACAAGAATACCTAAGGAGTTTGAAAGAAAAATTACAAAAAGGGCACTTCCGTCATTAAAACAGCCGTTTGACATTTTTCTTCGTCTTGTAGTGTCTTCGTCGTCTTCGTCTTCGTCTTCGTCTTCCTCCGCTTATCCGGGTCCGGGTCGCGGGGGCAGCATCCCAATTAGGAAGCTCCAGGCCGTCCTCTCCCCGGCCTTGTCCACCAGCTCCTCCGGCAGGACCCCAAGGCGTTCCCAGACCAGATTGGAGATGTAACCTCTCCAACGTGTCCTGGGTCGACCCGGGGGCCTTCTGCCGGCAGGACATGCCCGAAACACCTCCCCGGGGAGGCGTCCAGGAGGCATCCTGACCAGATGCCCAAACCACCTCAACTGGCTCCTTTCGATCCGGAGGAGCAGCGGTTCTACTCCGAGTCCCTCCCGAATGTCCGAGCTCCTCACCCTATCTCTAAGGCTGAGCCCGGCCACCCTACGGAGGAAACTCATTTCGGTCGCTTGTATCCGCGATCTCGTTCTTTCGGTCATTACCCAAAGCTCATGACCATAGGTGAGGATTGGGACGTAGATCGACCGGTAAATCGAGAGCCTGGCTTTCTGGCTCAGCTCCCTCTTCCCCACGACAGATCGGCTCAGCGTCCGCATCACTGCAGACGCCGAACCAATCCGCCTGTCGATCTCCCGATCCCTCCTACCCTCACTCGTGAACAAGACCACGAGATACTTAAACTCCTCCACTTGAGGTAGGACCTCTCCCCCGACCCGGAGGTGGCAAGCCACCCTTTTCCGGTCGAGAACCATGGTCTCAGATTTGGAGGTGCTGATCCTCATCCCAGCCGCTTCACATTCGGCCGCGAACCTACCCAGCAAGAGCTGAAGGTCAGAGCTGGATGAAGCTAGGAGGACCACATCATCCGCAAAAAGCAGAGACGAGATTCTCCTGCCACCAAACTCGACACACTCCACACCACGGCTGCGTCTAGAAATTCTGTCCATAAAAGTGATGAACAGAACCGGTGACAAAGGGCAGCCCTGGCGGAGTCCAACCCTCACTGGGAACAGGTCCGACTTACTACCGGCTTTGCGGACCAAACTCACGCTCCTCTGGTAAAGGGACTGAATGGCCCTTAACAGAAAGCCACCCACCCCATACTCCTGGAGCGTCCCCCACAGGATGCCCCTGGGGACACGGTCATAAGCCTTCTCCAAATCCACAAAGCACATGTGGATTGCTTGGGCAAACTCCCATGCCCCCTCCATCACCCTTGCAAGGGTATAGAGCTGGTCCACAGTTCCACGGCCAGGACGAAAACCACATTGCTCCTCCTCTATCTGAGATTCAACTATCGATCGGACCCTCCTCTCCAGTACCTTGGCGTAGACCTTTCCAGGGAGGCTGAGGAGTGTGATCCCCCTATAGTTGGAACACACCCTCAGGTCACCCTTCTTAAAGATGGGGACCACCACCCCGGTCTGCCACTCCCTAGGAACTGCCCCCGATGACCACGCAATGTTGTAGAGACGTGTCAACCATGACAGCCCTACAACATCCATAGCCTTGAGATACCCAGGACGAACCTCATCCGCCCCCGGGGCTCCGCCGCTGTGTAGTTGTTTGACTACCTCAGCTACTTCTGCCCCCGAGATCGGACAGTCCATCCCCAGGCCTCCCAGCTCTGGTTCCTCCTCGGAATGCGCATTGGTGGGATTGAGGAGCTCCTCAAAGTATTCCTTCCACCGTCCGACTATAGCCTCAG